ACAGGAGCAAAGGCTGACTTCACCTCCAGGCATTCGTTCTACCCTGTTTTTATCCACCTCATGGAATTTATTCGCTGTCAGCTTTACCTAAGCATCAGTTTCGAAAATAGGAAAGTTAGATAACGGGTTTTTATGGAACAGCTTTATCTAAACATCAGCTTCATAAATAGAGAAGTCTACGGATTTTTGTGGGGCAGCTTTACTTAAGCATCAATTTCATAAAAAGAGAAGTCCCAGGAAAACTTCCTCACCCTTTCCGTTCTTCATCGCTTCCCTCTCCCCTCCAAATGTAAGTTAGTTCACAAAAGATCTATGCCATTTAGTCCTTATATTCACCTATCCTAGCCCCCACCCCTGCCTCGAATGAAACGCGTCACACACCATCCCCACTTTCACCTGCCACATTTAAATTGCCTCCATCCGCCGAGGGGCAGCTCTACCTGCCGTCGGGACAAAAAATTTTTTGCGGCTTATGTGTGAAACGAGCCGAGCCAATCCGAGCCGACTTTTTGCAATTGCCCTTCTGGGCAATTACTAAGCTGGCGTCATCCACAAATCACGAAAAATTTTTCTTTGCCATTGGTGGTAAGGTTACTACTCCATGTAAGTGGTGACTGTTCGGTGTGACGCTGGAGGAGGACTGGAGGGGAGGGGGAGAGGGGGTAGTGGTTTGCTGTAGGTTTCCGCAGGAATTCAGAGCAGGAGAAGGAGGGCTGGGATAAACGGATTTAATGGCTATATGGCGTAGATTCCTTGTCGGTTGGCTAGGTTACGTACATTTGGGGCGTTAGGGGACGGGGAGAGGGAGTGGGATGATGGATGGAAAGGAACAGGAGGGGGATGTACTGCTGATTTTCTGCCGCAGATATCCGGGGTAGGCAAAGAACTGAAAAACTGCTTGCTTCCAAAGTGCGCTTATAGTAGGGATGGAGAGGAATTCAGATGGTGCTTTGCAGTCGGGATTTGGAGACAGGGTAGAGAGGGAGGACGAAGATACAAGTCAGGAGCTCGAAGCAAGAACTGGAGGAAGCAGTAAAGAAAGAGAGGCAGCACTGCACTACAAAGAAAAGTAAAGCAAACCTGAATCCGTGAGTAAAAGCAAAAAAAAAAAATCATTGGCGACGCGCACTGGGCGGGCCCCGTGCGATCATGCGCTTTTGCGCGTTTCGTGCCGTAAAAAGATCACTCGAAATTCCGCTAGATAGAAACCTCTTGTATATACTGGTCCTCGAATTTCGGGAAGTTAATTATCCACGTTATACTTGAATAGAGAAAATTCACTTGAAATCCCAGGCTCCCAGCTTTCTAAGTTCCCGAATTACCCAAATTCCAGCCAAAAAATTTCGCGGAGCCGCACGTGACAACCACGCATAACGGAGAGCTGAATTTGATAAATTTAAGTTGTAGATGAGCTAGGAATATTTCCTGAAAGTTTCAGCCCCCAACTTTCTTGGTTCCCGAGCTAGCGATTTTCGCACCAGGAACCCTCACGGGGTAGTACGCGGGGAAGGCGCACACCTAGGGGGCTGAATTTAAAATCTGAGTTCTATATGGACGTGGAACATAATCCCAAGATTTCAGCTTTCTAGTTTTTCTGGTTCTCAAGTTAGCGATTTCCCTGCCAAAACTTT